ATATAGTGTTATACCTCATCTATATAACAGCGTGGCATGTTGTAATTGTTTTGTACATGTATAATATTGATCACATGACAGGGGAATAAAACATAATGTTTCCCTTTTATCCTCGAGAGATATAGAAGTTTAAAAAGTAAAAGCTAAAGGATAGGTGTTGCTACCTACCAGGGTAGGATATTGTGTACACTGACTGATGTGAGACTTTTTTTCACGTTTAGTATAAACCAAATTGAAAATTGTAGGATCAATGGACTATGTTATTTTAGCCTGTTTGAATATAAAGTTTATTCATTAAGGGTTCAAAAATGAATCAATCATAGAGTAGACTTTCTACTAGAATGTTTCTTGGTAGACAGTGTGAATGGTAAGTAAAACTTTATTTACATCAGGAATTATAAAAGACCAAACGACAAGTAAAACCAGAAAGTATTTATTCAACCACAAATCAAAGATTTAAAGTTATGTATTCTGAAAATGTATATTGATCCACTTTATGAACTTATCATTACGTTCAAAATGCTTTAGCCAGATGTTACATGGCATCACCTATTCATAAACACGTTCTTTGAAAGCTTCCTCCATTGAATGTCCACGTATTTCAATGGTTCATTCTTCATCAGCTGGCCATCCTTCAGGTAGGCAGTTGTTCAAAGGATGATGGAGAAAGGAATGGTTTCCATCTCCCCAGGGGAAGGCCTGAAAACATAAACAGTTAACAGGGATCATAACAAAACAAAAGACAATACGACATACAGCAAGACTTCTTTCTGGTTATGGCCGGCCAAGGAAACAATATAACTACCGAGGTATCCTATATGTGCCTGAAGAAGTGCAAGAAGGCAGAAAAGCCAAGTGGTTGGCCTTATGCATTTATCATTTTATGTAATTGCGTGGTCATTTATACACATATTAACCTAGTGTTTTTATACAATATGAAAATTAACTCGCTCGAGTTAGATAAACTATGATTAACAATCACCACTCGTTGGGGAATCTCTATTTAATCACACTAATTCACAACCAGATCCGGAAATATAAATCACATCTGTACCTGAGACCACCTATAGCTACCATATACACTAAGCCTGGAGTATATATATATATATATTATGCTATAGAATAACACAGTTCATAGACTTATCTGGGAAGATAGAAAGATACCTATCTTAATTATAAAAATCTTACATAAATTGATAATTTTTAAGGCATATAATTGTGTAGTGCTAAAAATACATCATTCTTTTGTAATATGCAAAATTATTTCCTATTAAAAAACACCATTCCATTTCCCGGTTCATGTCTTAGAAAAGGTCAAAATATCATTACTAATATTGTAATCTAGTCTTGTTACATCCCATACCTTTATTAATCGACAAGACAAACAATGATGTATGTATACTGGGGATGGACAATAACACTCTAATTACCAAGATATTACAATATCTTTTTCATCAATAAGTACTGCACTATGATTTTGAAATGGCAATTATAGTATAGCAATATTTAAAAACCTTTTATTGATGGTTTAGGAAAAAAATGACATGTAACTTAGTTTCAGGTACCCCTACCGACACTTTATGTAGGTTTTTAACTTCGACCCTAACGTTTTTTCTCACTTGAAAGCACTCCATCCAAAGTTGGGATAACTTGTCCACCTGATGCAAACAAATTGATGGATAAAACTTTTGGTACTATGCAGGACTGAGACTTGACTTGCCACTATAACATGGGCAATTGTACTGAAGCATGACTTACACACCCAAAGTTGAGTAAGCGTTAATCTCCCTTACTGCTTGAATAGATTATTACCTTTGTTTGCAAACACAAATAACTGTTATTTTTTCAAATGAATACTTGTATATATATGGCAGTATATATGGCAGCATTGGCTTAATAGCTTTTGACTCCATAGAGTTTGTCATGTCAGAAAACTGGAAATTGTCAACACCTACTTTTATTTTGATGTTTCATAAATATAATGAATGTGTGACTTACATTTTTCCTTATGTACATGTAGTCGTACGGCATGTATTCCACACGACCATGGCCATGTTCCTCAGTCAGATAAGCCATTCCCAAACAAGTGCCCACAAATGGAATAGTTCTGAGTATTACATTTCTTATTTGGGATTTGTATTCAACTGCAAATAACAAGCAATATTGGTAATCAAGGGTATCATTATTACTAATTTTTCCTACAATTGTTTTATAAAAAGTGGCTCATAGGGCCTGTAAGGATCCCCTGAGTCTTTTATTATTTGAACTTGACAAATGGTTGAAATACTTCCACTAGCTGGAGACTATGATGGTCATTGAAATCTTACCTTAGATATCTTATTGAAATAGTGATTGAAGTATAACAACACTTGGTAATTAAATGAAGGCAATGACACATGTCTCCGCCATCAGAGGTCAGAATGCATACAATCAAATTAAAATTATATCTTCACATCGCTCCCGTTTTCTGATATGTCGCGTTGAACGTCGACTTCAACATACACTGTTGTTAAATATCTCTAAGTAGATTAAACCACCGTTTCTTCAATGCTTTTTATGAACAAGGTCGTTCAAGCCGGATGAAGCGGACGTGGGAAAATATTCATGTGAATTAGTTTCATGATCCCCGAATTATAATTTGGATTTTTCAAGTGTTCATGCAAGTATGAACGGGTACAAATTTACTTACACACGTAGCAAAGCGAAGGCTGTTCATGTGAAATGTGTAAGTAAATTTTCCCCTGTTCATACTTGCATGAACACCAAAAAATTACAGATTCAATCCCTATATGAACCGTGAGCAGACATCATTGTCATGAACTGTTTAATAACCATTTAAGCAAGTTTTTCAAGCCAATTTTGTTCTGCCCGGATTTTCGGCAGAATCTGCATCAAAGAATTATTGCTTCGGAAATGAGAGGTTGCATGGAGTCGACAAAATCATAACCGATAAAAAAAAGTCCGACCAGCGGCCTCTTATGCTATAGGAGTCCTAAAACTTGTTTCGTGATAACAAATTTGCCTTATATTTGGCCATGCAGACCATATAGAAACCGATAATTGAGATAACATCACGCTTGATCTGTCATGGCGGTCGTTTCTATCTTCCCCCCCCCCCCCTCCCAAGACGGACTTGCCTAATTTCGTGTAAGAGTATTATTAGTAGTAATGACTCATATTTTTTCAACAATTATGAAATATTTCGATAACATTATTCTCATATGAGCCGTGAATTATATGTTATCTAACAGATTAACATTTTTAATTTTGCTCCATTAGTTGACATGGGACCGCTTCGTAGTTCTGAACAGGCCGGGGAAAACCACTAACATGCGTATAATATGCAAGCTCGCCTATTATGTATACGCCAATAGGGTTATGGATTTGTTACTTAAAATAGCCAAAATAACTTTAATCTTAACTTCTTCAAATTGTTTGTAAAAGTTGCATTTATGCAGTCCTGAAACATAATACAAATGCAAAATTAAACTTTATTTGCATTCATGTGTGAAAGTACAAAATATAGATGCAATACTTCCGGTAAAGTTACATAAAGTTTCTAAGTAGCCAGCGCTTTCAGTAAACATCTTTTAGCAAAATATTCTTTACCTTGTCATAAATCAATGCAATTTTTAATAATATCATGCAAAAGTTACTGTTAAAGCGATTTGGCATTTTGGGTTATTTTTAGTAACAAATTTATACTCCAACTGGCGTATAATAGGCGAGTTTGCGTATTAACCGTATTATACGCAAGTTGGTTTTCCCCAATCTGGCTCTGACGACGCAATATAAAAAAAAATCTCGTCGATAGAAGCTACGTTATCGCAGCTAGCTGACTGAACGAATTATAAACAGGACTATCGGGGGATTACTGTAGCTGTTGAATGAATCTAGCTCTAACGTTACCTCTATATTCTGGTATGTAAAAGTCATGGGCAGCTTCTTTTACACTATCTGTTTGTCTTTGAACAAAGCCACAATCCCTCTTCTGCTGTTTCGCTGGTCTTTTAACAGCATTTTTCAAAGCGTGCCGCACAAAACCCACTCGCGCAAGAGACATCTTGTTAGTTGTGAAGGTCAATTCATCAAGTAATGGAAGTAAAACTAAAAGCGACATTGTTCGAAATGTAGCACAGAAGCCGACATGGTATCAGAACAGAGAATAACATGAAAGACACTCTAGCATATAACAATTTTTTTAATGTTCTAAGATAACTACCGACATTACTTTTACATTGTATAGGAAAGTTTCACATCGACAGCTGCTCATTTACTTCCCCCTGTTGATGTCTTTTCGGTTATTTGTGTTAAAATGTCGCTTTTATGTAACCCTCACGTAGCGCACTTTTAACGGCAAATATAGCCCATAATATAAAGATTAATAGGAAATTGGTCCCAACCACTGTATTACATTTCTAGTTAGTTTAACTTTTAAATCAATCATTAAAATATCGTTTTTACCAGTTCAAAAGGCGGTAACAGGGAATGAATATCCAGACTAATGGTAAAGGCTTATCGCTTAGTTAAGTCTGTTTAAACCAAGTCTGTTCGCAGTTACTTCCGGTCGAAGCAGTCGATTGTTTTGGGTTTTCTCAGTTAATTGATTATTGCTATGACAATTAAAACCCCCAAAAATGAGAATGCAGAAGGATGGGGAACAATAACCAAAAACTTCCGCTAAGAAAAGCTCAATCAGTTCCAGGATCTCAGGTAAGCATTTAAGCCGGTAAATCTGTTCATTCGTCAGTTGGTGGGGTAAAGTAAATGGTGGTACATGGGGCCGGGTTACCCAAATGGAGAAGTATTACCCATATGCGCCGTTGTGCCCAACCCGAATATAGATATTGCATTGTCTGACTGCGAACCTGTTTCTGTGCTACACTTAGCTATTTCTGTGCCCTAATGTTTTTGTACATTGCTGTGTGCGTACATACCCAAAGTTTGTTTGACATTATCAATTTTTTGGACGTAGTGCAAGCAGATAGTGAATGTCTGTGAGGTTATTGAAGAAATTGAATTAAAAACAAGTATATCTAAGTTTTCATTATTTATTTTACTCGAAAACATGCAGCAAAATAGTTTTTTAAATGATATGATATTACTTTTTTTTATATATATAAAATTGGAAAAAAATGCATCTGGTATACGTAACAGTAAAATTTTGGTTTACCTTTAATTATACAACAACTCCACATTGTCTGCGAAATTGTGTGACTTTAATAATATCCTAATATGTTTTTCTGTGAATTTCCTTCTTTATTTTAGTAAATGTACTGCAAGAAATCCCTAAAAAGCATTTTGTTGTAATAAAAAATGAAGCAGATACAACTTCAAGTTTCAAAATAATTTTGTAAACATTTTCTTCTGTTACACTTCCATCGTTTTAGACCAGTTGTATCACACAGTGTATACAATGTACACTTCTGCATAAGCAATCATATCAGCAACCACTGTGATACAGTTTGCTAGTACTAAGTAGAATATGTGTTTATGTCCAAATCTGGCTAGAGGTGGCTCAAAGGACAAGACCAAAGAGAGGGTAATCAAATTGAGTTTTAAAGGTTAGAGGTTTAGAGGTTTTTTTTCTTTGATAGTTTATTATATTTCAACCAAATTTCCTTTTTCAATTATCCATTGGGACCATGGCATCCAATACAATATGTAAAGGATGGGTGTTGTCACCCTTGGTGCTGTGAGGCAGGGCCCTAAATAGGAAAATTCTAGCAGTGTTACCTGCAAAGGAGAATGTAAATAATATAAATAATATTTTCTCAGGAAAAGGCATGCATAACAAATCAATTTCATAAACTTTAAGGTAGATAATTTACAAAGTTGATATCTATAATTCATGTGTTTTGACTTACCCTGGAATAGCCCATAAAAGCCATAGAAAGCTTATATCCAACAGGGTACCCTGATGTTTTCCATGATTGATGAAATTATTAATATCAAGATGATTGGTACAAGATTGAGGTCATGCTGAACCTTTGTTCTCATCTAAAATAATCAATTGCCTGATAACTATAAAAATCATGTCTATATAATTTACTTACAAGTTTTTTTTTAGCTTGTTTTTTTTATATTTGTTTGATTTCTTTTTTTTGCTGTTCTCTAATTGCACCTGCCTATATCAAGTTGTTTTTATCAAACTGTAAACATAATGCTTGCATATTTGAACTTTCTTAATTTAGCACGGCAGATAATTAATGAATAGTATTTAGGAGCAGTTATAAATTAATCCATAAGGCATATTGGAATACACATTTAACAAACATGTATGGAAACTAAAAGATTATTCATGAATCCCTATATTTGCATTTATTTGTGTTATGTAATATAATTAGAGCATTAGCTCAACAGTTCAAAACTCTAATTACTAGCTATGTATGATTATCACTATAAGTTAAAAAAACTTTAATTACTAGCTATATGATAATCACTATAAGTTAAAAACCTGTAATTACTAGCTATATGATAATCACTATAAGTTAAAAACCTGTAATTACTAGCTATATGATTATCACTATAAGTTAAAAAACCTGTAATTACTAGCTATATGATTATCACTATAAGTTAAAAACCTGTAATTACTAGCTATATGATTATCACTATAAGTTAAAAACCTGTAATTACTAGCTATATGATTATCACTATAAGTTAAAAACCTGTAATTACTAGCTATATGATTATCACTATAAGTTAAAAACCTGTAATTACTAGCTATATGATTATCACTATAAGTTAAAAACCTGTAATTACTAGCTATATGATTATCACTATAAGTTAAAAACCTGTAATTACTAGCTATATGATTATCACTATAAGTTAAAAACCTGTAATTACTAGCTATATGATTATCACTATAAGTTAAAAACCTGTAATTACTAGCTATATGATTATCACTATAAGTTAAAAACCTGTAATTACTAGCTATATGATTATCACTATAAGTTAAAAACCTGTAATTACTAGCTATATGATTATCACTATAAGTTAAAAACCTGTAATTACTAGCTATATGATTATCACTATAAGTTAAAAACCTGTAATTACTAGCTATATGATTATCACTATAAGTTAAAAACCTGTAATTACTAGCTATATGATTATCACTATAAGTTAAAAACCTGTAATTACTAGCTATATGATTATCACTATAAGTTAAAAACCTGTAATTACTAGCTATATGATTATCACTATAAGTTAAAAACCTGTAATTACTAGCTATATGATTATCACTATAAGTTAAAAACCTGTAATTACTAGCTATATGATTATCACTATAAGTTAAAAACCTGTAATTACTAGCTATATGATTATCACTATAAGTTAAAAACCTGTAATTACTAGCTATATGATTATCACTATAAGTTAAAAACCTGTAATTACTAGCTATATGATTATCACTATAAGTTAAAAACCTGTAATTACTAGCTATATGATTATCACTATAAGTTAAAAACCTGTAATTACTAGCTATATGATTATCACTATAAGTTAAAAACCTGTAATTACTAGCTATATGATTATCACTATAAGTTAAAAACCTGTAATTACTAGCTATATGATTATCACTATAAGTTAAAAACCTGTAATTACTAGCTATATGATTATCACTATAAGTTAAAAACCTGTAATTACTAGCTATATGATTATCACTATAAGTTAAAAACCTGTAATTACTAGCTATATGATTATCACTATAAGTTAAAAACCTGTAATTACTAGCTATATGATTATCACTATAAGTTAAAAACCTGTAATTACTAGCTATATGATTATCACTATAAGTTAAAAACCTGTAATTACTAGCTATATGATTATCACTATAAGTTAAAAACCTGTAATTACTAGCTATATGATTATCACTATAAGTTAAAAACCTGTAATTACTAGCTATATGATTATCACTATAAGTTAAAAACCTGTAATTACTAGCTATATGATTATCACTATAAGTTAAAAACCTGTAATTACTAGCTATATGATTATCACTATAAGTTAAAAACCTGTAATTACTAGCTATATGATTATCACTATAAGTTAAAAACCTGTAATTACTAGCTATATGATTATCACTATAAGTTAAAAACCTGTAATTACTAGCTATATGATTATCACTATAAGTTAAAAACCTGTAATTACTAGCTATATGATTATCACTATAAGTTAAAAACCTGTAATTACTAGCTATATGATTATCACTATAAGTTAAAAACCTGTAATTACTAGCTATATGATTATCACTATAAGTTAAAAACCTGTAATTACTAGCTATATGATTATCACTATAAGTTAAAAACCTGTAATTACTAGCTATATGATTATCACTATAAGTTAAAAACCTGTAATTACTAGCTATATGATTATCACTATAAGTTAAAAACCTGTAATTACTAGCTATATGATTATCACTATAAGTTAAAAACCTGTAATTACTAGCTATATGATTATCACTATAAGTTAAAAACCTGTAATTACTAGCTATATGATTATCACTATAAGTTAAAAACCTGTAATTACTAGCTATATGATTATCACTATAAGTTAAAAACCTGTAATTACTAGCTATATGATTATCACTATAAGTTAAAAACCTGTAATTACTAGCTATATGATTATCACTATAAGTTAAAAACCTGTAATTACTAGCTATATGATTATCACTATAAGTTAAAAACCTGTAATTACTAGCTATATGATTATCACTATAAGTTAAAAACCTGTAATTACTAGCTATATGATTATCACTATAAGTTAAAAACCTGTAATTACTAGCTATATGATTATCACTATAAGTTAAAAACCTGTAATTACTAGCTATATGATTATCACTATAAGTTAAAAACCTGTAATTACTAGCTATATGATTATCACTATAAGTTAAAAACCTGTAATTACTAGCTATATGATTATCACTATAAGTTAAAAACCTGTAATTACTAGCTATATGATTATCACTATAAGTTAAAAACCTGTAATTACTAGCTATATGATTATCACTATAAGTTAAAAACCTGTAATTACTAGCTATATGATTATCACTATAAGTTAAAAACCTGTAATTACTAGCTATATGATTATCACTATAAGTTAAAAACCTGTAATTACTAGCTATATGATTATCACTATAAGTTAAAAACCTGTAATTACTAGCTATATGATTATCACTATAAGTTAAAAACCTGTAATTACTAGCTATATGATTATCACTATAAGTTAAAAACCTGTAATTACTAGCTATATGATTATCACTATAAGTTAAAAACCTGTAATTACTAGCTATATGATTATCACTATAAGTTAAAAACCTGTAATTACTAGCTATATGATTATCACTATAAGTTAAAAACCTGTAATTACTAGCTATATGATTATCACTATAAGTTAAAAACCTGTAATTACTAGCTATATGATTATCACTATAAGTTAAAAACCTGTAATTACTAGCTATATGATTATCACTATAAGTTAAAAACCTGTAATTACTAGCTATATGATTATCACTATAAGTTAAAAACCTGTAATTACTAGCTATATGATTATCACTATAAGTTAAAAACCTGTAATTACTAGCTATGTATGATTATCACTATAAGTTAAAAACCTGGAATTACTAGCTATATGATAATCACTATAAGTTCAAAACTTGTATTTACTAGCTATATGATTATCACTATAAGTTAAAAACCTTGAATTACTAGCTATATGATTATCACTATAAGTTCAAAACCTTTAATTACTAGCTATATGACTATCACTATAAGTTCAAAACCTTTAATTACTAGCTATATGATTATCACTATAAGAATTATGTTTACAGTTGTCTTTGTATGTCTGTTGTTTTAACCACTAACTTATTCATGTTTGATATATAATTCTAATTCTACTGTAGATACTGTTACAGTATTTACCATGTCTGTGTACATTATACTACGTAAGGTAGTACTATCACTACAGTTAGAATTATTTATAGTGTACCATTGCAATGCAATGGTACGTAGCATTTCTGTACTAGATATTTGATTTAGTTTTCAAAACCAGCTGAGCTAACAGGTAATATATATATGTAACAGAATGTGTGCACTATATATATACACAGGCACGTACCACTTACCAGTATTGTTCACTAGTTTGCATGTAGTGTAATGGAATAAGCCAAGAATGACCTGTCATTTTGAACTTTATGTGGAATATTCATATTGAGCAATTGTATTTCATTCACCCACCTATTTATTGTTCAGGTGAAATCAAGTTGTCTGTAATGTTGTTAGCTTAAAGTTATGTTAAATTCTTCTGATTTATAGATATAGCATACATGTTTAAAATAAATTTCATTGGGTTTTGATTTTTTTTTGTGAATTGTAGAAACATTATTCAATAGTATAAATCTGCATTGCAAATGAAAAAATAATCTTTGGTAAAAAAAAATCAGCTATGTATACTTGTAATGTTTGAAAAAAAGGAAGCTTGCACATCCCCCTTCCATTTGTTATACATGGACAAGTTATTTTCATTTTAGTAGTTATTAATGCTTTCAAATATAATAAATTGTATACTGAGACTCCGGTAAATTGGGCAAAATGAAATCACCCCCAAAAAATCACTGGCACTTAACATCTGAAGCATGTCCAATGATGAAAGCAGAACTTATAGAAGTTAACTCATCACTTTATGAAATATTCAAATCTACAATTTATTATAAATTAACATTGTCATAATAATAACGATGGAACAGAGGAAGACATACCCCCAGCAAGAATCAATGATAGTGAGCAGTAACGACAGCAGTTTAGTCCTCATACCGTAACTTCTCCACCTGAGTTAGAGTAGATGTTAACGTTATACCTATGGTCACTATATTAGAGTCAACTGTACTAATCAATATGGTAATTAGAGGCCAACAGAACAGGGCATAGGGGTCTGACTAGAAATTATGATACAAATAGAAAGTTTTTGTCAAATTCCAAATCCTGAAGTGGAACAAGATTTTTTTATCTTGTCACAAAATGTATGCATTCTGTTACACATATTGCCTCCCTTTGTTAGCTTTTTCTGTCACCTCCTATTTAAAATGATAGATATGGATATTTTCTTATAAATTTGCATGTTTAGGAATCTATTTTGATCAGTAAAATGTTGTATATATTTCCACCTGGTATTTGAAGTACATACACTAATCCCCAAATGTGATTTTCGTTTTTAACATTAACATCATGATTATTTTATATTTGTTATTTAAGATAATTGTAGCTTGACCCCAGCTATGTATGCTCAGGCAGCATTTGGCAGTAACTGTGTGCAACTCTTACATTGGTTTTCCCTGTTCAGCAAATTAAAGAAGGTGAGAAAGTGAAGTCCTTATATTAAATTACAATTGGGGAAGTAAAACATTTAGGTATATGGTACATAAGTTATGTGAGTTTCATATTACTCGAATATTGGTTAGACTTATTTATGTGGTTATTTTTTTTTGTGGTTATTAAAAAATCATATTTACATTTAATTCATTCACCCCTGAAATTTCATTATGAACTATATATTCCAACCTTTGAACTGGATGCGTTCAAATGTGTCTTCAGGGGTAAATGAGTTAAGTACAGCTGCAGTTGATGCTTCTTATAAATGTATTTTGAAAGAATATAAATCAAAGTAAGGTCAAATGGCCAAAATTTGTTAAATACAGATGTAATATTAATTTATAAAGTTAAATTTTAACAAATATGAAGCTCACAGACATTCAGTTAAACCTTGGTAATCCAGACACATTATAAAGTTTCATGTCATGATCAGGAATATCGGACTGAAAAATGTCTCTAAAATAAATTTCTTGCCTGAATTTGAAATGTACTGTTTCCGATTAACAAGATTTTGCTAAAGAACTTTCAGTGTACAGTATGCAGATAATAATGTATCTCTCACCCTCAAATATTAATGTAGACATTGAATACTTTTCTCCAGTCGCTGAAATGGAATTGTTTGGATACAAGATAATGTTTTTCGTCAAAAAGCAATATTATTATCTGATTGTTTAAAGGGACAGAATTCAAGTCTTTTAATTGTCGTATCACAAAAATGTCTGTTTTGATGCATGTGGCCGTGGAAGTTAAGCTATTCTTAATCTTATTAACATTCTAGCTAACCCCTAGGCCTAGCTGTGCAAAGTAGCTGTGGGACATTCTTTATAACTCTGTACCTCCTGTGTAAACTGACTGAGGGGACATTCTGTATCTTTATACACTCTCTCCCTCCTGTGTAAACTGACTGTGGGGGACATACATGTATATATAGTCTATCGATCTTCATAACTCCTCCTTTGTAAGAATTCAGAGAGAATTCAAATGACATCAGCGATGTGCCAAAATAAAAGAGATGAATTAATTAATGAAGTAATGGATACCGGGTAATGTAATCGTTGGTAGTAAATCCCAGGATGGGTTAGATAAAGGATCTGAAGCTGCCCATGGTCTGTACCTTTGGTTGAGGAAGATGTATATAGTGATATATATATATATGTCACTTCATAACCCTTCCAGTATCAAATGGCAATCAGTTGGCATTCATATGAGCTATGAATGTCATGGACAGATTATTGAATGGTAATGGTTCACCTGAATGGTCTTTTCAGAAAGACGGCTGTGGTATTCATTGATCAAGCACGTACACTTGATACATACATTTAATATGAATTCTAAAAGTTGAATTTTATGTGTATGAGATTATTAAATGATAAATATAAGCATTGTACTGCTTCCTGTAAGTATTCATACTCATATGAATGCCAGTTGGAACTTGAAATTCAAGGTGAGCTTCATGGATTTCGTTTCTAGATGGCAATTATATACATAGCTTTTAATGCCAAGTGAAAGCAAAGCAATTCAATACTAGAATAGTATGTGTAGTTTAGCCTGTGCATCCTGTAATTTTTTTAGATTTGGTTAACCTGTACATGTGCATGTTGTTTTTGGATGTTGGTGTGCATGTGTGGATCCTCTGGAGTTCTGTTTATTTACAATTTGAGTACATGTTTGTTTGCAGTTTGAATAAATATAAATGTCATCCCAACACTTATATACAGTTGTGGGATCGCACAACGCACCAAAAATAGCGTGCGCACACCGTGCATACATCGTTCACACACCGTCCGCACATCGTCCACACATGGTGCGCACAACTGTGCGATATAGCAATTGTTCGCCCGGTTGTGCGCTTCTCTCCGCACAACTGTGCGATTTGGTATCATTTGTAGATCAAAATTACTGAATGACAAAAATACGGAAGGCTTGTATGCGATAATGTACACTGTGTATATATCTGTACTTTTTCATCACAATAATCAAGATTATACAATTTCACAATGCGTGTTACACAGTATTACAGCGACCGTTAGGCTGTTAAAAATGGGTTTGGCTCCAAGGTAACAGAACAGGTATTGTAATTTTACATGTGTCAGTTAAGTTTGTTTAAAAACACAGAAAACACAATTTCTAAATATAAGAATGTATAGACAGAAAGATAAGTTTATAAATGTTGCTAGAATATAGAAACATGTGTAAACATCAAGTTTATATGTTTAAACACGAAACCGTATAAAGTGTTAAGGCACTCCTCAATTTACACCAACCACGATTGTTATTGCACAACGTCCGTCCATCGTGCGCACAGATGTGCACAAGCATTATGATCGTCCAGCTTTTTATTGTCGCCCATCGTGCACACACCGTTCACACACCGCGCACACATCGTGTAATGTGCGATCCCACAACTGTATATATATATTCTCCTTAACAGAATACTGATTAATTTTTCTTTCAGGATAAAAGAAATTAGCAAAATACACTCAGGTGTGTGATTTCATATAAGAGTACATGTACATTGTACTAATTAAAAGGTGGTTTGTTAAGAAATACTTTATATTACCATTCCTGATATTAAATCGCTGGGTGTGGGAGTTGGTTTCCTGCAAAAAGAGTGAGGTTTTCACACATACAAATGTTCTATAATTTGTAGTCCTTCTAACCATCATCGTACAGACCCTGTTATCCTATAGAAGGTCAGTAAGATCCATAGAAGTCTTAGCTGATAGGATTATAGGGGTCAATAATAATAATAGTAATTGGAGGTTCTTATATACGGCTTTATCACAATCTAGTTCGTAGGTCGTCTCAAAGTGGTTCACAAATTATTATCCAGCTTGGTTTATTGGGCCTTTGCAACCAGCCAATATCTTTCTCAACTCCCTGGGGAGCATAGCCGGTGCTGCCATTTTGGTGCTCACAGCTAGCATTCTACAATTCTAGCACTGCCCAACAACATACTCATTTACAGCTTAGTAGACTTAAACAAGCGAAGTAAAGTAACTTGCTGAAAGATACAACACAGTGCCCTGATGTGACTCAAACCAGCAAACCTTCAGTCATGAGCCCAGCGTCCTACCACTAGACTACCATGTCTCTGGTCAGACCCATAGAGGGTGATGCTGATAGGTAGAGCCTTGTATGGTCAATCAGACCCAAAGATGGTGATGCTGATAGGTAGAGCCTTGTATGGTCAATCTGACCCAACGATGGTGATGCTAATAGGTATAGAGCCTTGTATGGTCAATCAGACCCAAAGAGGGCAATGCTGATAGGTAGAGCTTTGTATGGTCAATCTGACCCAAAGAGGGTGATGCTGATAGGAAGAGTCTTGTACGGTCAATCAGACCCAAAGAGGGTGATGCTTATCGGTAGAGCCTTGTATGATCAATCAGACCCAAAGATGATGATGCTGATAGGTACAGCCTTGTATAGTCAATCAGACCCAAAGATGATGGTGCTGATAGGTAGAGCGTTGTATGGTCAATCAGACCCAACGATGGTGAGGCTGATAGGTATAGAGCCTTGTATGGATATTATAGGGATCAATCAGCCCCAAAGATGGTGATGCTGATAGGTAGATCCTTGTATGGTCAATCTGACCCAACGATGGTGATGCTGATAGGTAGAGAGCCGTGTATGGTCAATCAAACCCAAAGAGGGTGATGCTGATAGGTAGAGGCTTGTATGGGCAATCGGACCCAAAGAGGGCAATGCTGATAGGTAGAGCTTTGTATGGTCAATCAGACCCAACGAGGGTGATGCTGATAGGTAGAGTCTTGTATGGTCAATCAGACCCAAAGTTGTCAATGCTTATAGCAAGCGAAGTAAAGTAACTTGCTGAAAGATACAACACAGTGCCCTGATGTGACTCAAACCAGCAAACCTTCAGTCATGAGCCCAGCATCCTACCACTAGACTACCATGTCTCTGGTCAGACCCATAGAGGGTGATGCTGATAGGTAGAGCTTTGTATGGTCAATCTGACCCAAAGATGGTGATGCTGATAGGTATAGCCTTGTATGGTCGATCAGACCCAAAGAGGGTGATGCTAATAGGTTGTATGGATATTATAGGGGTCAATCTGACCCAAAAAGGGTGATGCTGATAGGTAGAGCCTTATATGGTCAATCAGACCCAACGATGGTGAGGCTGATAGGTATAGAGCCTTGTATGGATATTATAGCGATCAATCAGACCCAAAGATGGTGATGCTGATAGGTATAGCCTTGTATGGTCGATCAGACCCAAAGAGGGTGATGCTATTAGGTAGAGCCTTGTATGGTCAATCTGACCCAGTGATGGAAATGCTGATAGGTAGAGCCTTGTATGGTGAATCAGACCCAAAGATGATGATGCTGATAGGTAGAGCTTTGTTTGGTCAATCAGACCCAAAGATGGTGGTGCTGATAGGTAGAGCCTTGTATGGGCAGTCAGAGACCAAGTTGTCAATGCTTATAGCAAGCGAAGTAAAGTAACTTGCTGAAAGATACAACACAGTGCCCTGATGTGACTCAAACCAGCAAACCTTCATTCATGATCCCAGCGTCCTACCACTAGACTACCGTGTCTCTGGTCAGACCCATAGAGGGTGATGCTGATAGGTTGATCCTTGTATGGTCAATCAGACCCAAAGTTGTCAATGCTTATAGCAAGCGAAGTAAAGTAACTTGCTGAAAGATACAACACAGTGCCCTGATGTGACTCAAACCAGCAAACCTTCATTCATGATCCCAGCGTCCTACCACTAGACTACCGTGTCTCTGGTCAGACCCATAGAGGGTGATGCTGATAGGTTGATCCTTGTATGGTCAATCAGACCCAAAGAGGGTGATGCTTATCGGTAGAGCCTTGTATGATCAATCAGACCCAAAGATGATGATGCTGATAGGTAGAACCTTGTATGGATATTATAGGGGTAAATCTGACCCAAAGAGGGTGATGCTGAAAGGTAGAGCCTTGTATGGTCAATCAGACCCAACCATGGCGATGCTGATAGGTATAGAGCCTTGTATGGTCAATCAAACCCAAAGAGGGCGATGCTGATAGGTAGAACCTTGTATGGATATTATAGGGGTAAATCTGACCCAAAGAGGGTGATGCTGATAGGAAGAGCCTTGTATGGTCAATCAGACCCAACCATGGTGATGCTGATAGGTAGAGCCTTCTATGGTCAATCAGACCAAAAGATGGTGATGCTGATAGGTAGAGACTTGTATGGTCAATCAGATCCAAAGAGGGCGATTCTGATAGGTAGAGCCTTGTATGGTCAATCGGACCCAAAGAGGGCAATGCTGATAGGTAGAGCTTTGTATGGTCAATCTGACCCAAAGATGGTGATGCTGATAGGTAGACACTTGTATGGTCAATCAGATCCAAAGAGGGCGATGCTGATAGGTAGAACCTTGTATGGATATTATAGGGGTAAATCTGACCCAAAGAGGGTGATGCTAATAGGTAGAATAGGGATCAATCAGACCCAAAGATGGTGATGCTGATAGGTATAGCCTTGTATGGTCGATCAGACCCAAAGGTGTGAATGCTTATAGCAAGCGAAGTAAAGTAACTTGCTGAAAGATACAACACAGTGCCCTGATGTGACTCAAACCAGCAAACCTTCATTCATGATCCCAGCGTCCTACCACTAGACTACCATGTCTCTGGTCAGACCCATAGAGGGTGATGCTGATAGGTTGATCCTTGTATGGTCAATCAGACCCAAAGAGGGCAGTGCTGATAGGTAGAGCCTTGTATGGTGAATCAGACCCAAAGAGGGCAATGCTGATAGGTAGAGCTTTGTATGGTCAATCAGACCCAACGAGGGTGATGCTGATAGGTAGAGTCTTGTATGGTCAATCAGACCCAAAGAGGGCAGTGCTGATAGGTAGAGCCTTGTATGGGCAAGAAGACCCAAAGTTGTCAATGCTTATAGGTAGAGCCTTGTATGGTCAATCAGATCCAAAGAGGGCGATGCTGATAGGTAGAACCTTGTATGGATATTATAGGGGTAAATCTGACCCAAAGAGGGTGATGCTAATAGGTTGTATGGATATTATAGGGGTCAATCTGACCCAAAGAGGGTGATGCTGAAAGGTAGAGCCTTGTATGGTCAATCAGACCCAAAGAGGGTGATGCTAATAGGTAGAGCCTTGTATGGTCAATCTGACCCAAAGAGGGTGATGCTGATAGGTAGAGTCTTGTACGGTCAATCAGACCCAAAGAGGGTGATGCTGATAGGTTTTATTTCATTATTTTACCCATCTTAAAATCTGTACCAGTGTAATACACTTAATCAGGCAAAACAAAGGTAAGTTAGATAAAATATAACAGAAACACCTAGTGTAACAATTTTTTATGTTTTATGTTTTCGCAGTTTTTACAAGCGACTAATCCAGATTTTGTGAGAGGGAATAAGACACGAGGCTCTGAGCGCCTCGTTCGGGGTAAATCCCAGGATGAGCTAGATAAAGGATCTGAAGGTGCCCAATGGTCAGTACCTTTGGTTGAGGCCCTCTTCCTGCCCGACTTTCCAGTCAGGGGTAGTCTCGAGGAGCAGGAGTTTGAGGTAAAATAACTTTGATTACTACCATGTTCGATTCTCATTCAGTTCAGTTTGAGCCAATTCAATCTGATATGTATTATGATGCAATATATGTAACCCTCAACCCATGTCTATGTTGAGGCCATGAGTCAGCAGGGTAGGGCAGAGAATCCTTGGGCCAAGGGGAATACATATTGTATGAACATTAAGGGGTGCCCCTCTCCCTTTTTTGAGGGGGCACGGTGGTGGGGCACATCAGAAAATGGTAAATGTTTAAAAAATATACTTCTAGAGTAGGAGCATTCTTGGGTCAAGGAGACTCAACATTAGAAGATGAGTCAATGTCTTATAAGGGAAATAAAGGTACTGGTATAGTCCAATAAAACCAACTTGTTGAGTACAGAAAAAGGGGTTTGATCATTATTTGATCTTGAAAATCTTTTGGTCAAGGGAACTCAACTATTGATTGGGTAGGTGTGAGCCCAAATGGGAGCTGAGGGATGGGGCCAAATAGGGGTATTGAAGGTATGTCTATAAAAGCTATATTCAAGTATGGGTTAAGGGATATTTAATCTAACTTGGTCCTGACAATCCAGAGCCAAGGAACTCAATATTGTTAAAATCGAGGGGAATTTGGGAAAAGAAATGGCAATGATCCATATATAAGGTCACAGGGGTCTCATTTGTTAAAACACTCGAATGACTCCTTTTAAAGAGCGAAAATGACATGAAATTCTTCAAAGAATATAAATTCTGCAAATAAAATAATCCTTACCGTCCAATGTTCAACTTCAAGATCTTCCTGGTCAAATTTGTTAAATGATAAAATTACTTCTTCTGAAAACTAAAAAAACTTGGGTCGTGAGGATATTTGGTTTCATCATTTGCTTGCTGGCAGAAATTTGACAAAGCTTGCAAAAAAGATAACCATAATTCCATATTCAAGGATATTCAAGGACACGGGGGTCATATTTGTTAGGCACTCATAAACTATATCTGAACAAAAAATGACTTAGAAATATGATATTTGGCCAATAACTTAATGGCATGGAGTGCTATAAAGTTTGCTAAAAGAATTGAGCTCTTGTTTGTTTGAACAACTTTGTCTGAATAACAAAGATATTCCTAGGGTATTTAGCCAGTAGCATGTAGGGAAGGAGGCTATCATTTTTGTTCAAATGAATGATCTTGACCCATTTTCAAGATCACAGTTGTCAAATGTGTTAGAATCTTGAAACAACTTCTGATCATGAATGACCAGTAGCACACTTGTATACCGTAGGGCTACCAAGTTTCCTCAAGGGATTTTGACAATTTTTTCAAGACCGAGTTGGTCAAAAGTTCAAATAACATGTATATGTACTGAAAAAACAAATAGACCCAGAATTACGATGTAAGCGATATGTATTCTGGACTAAAGGGTTGCAAAAGTGTTTAAATAAATGACCTCGACCTTCTTTCAATGTCTCGGAGATGAAATGTGTCTAAACCTTTTAACTGCTTCTGCTGAGTAACCAACAGGTCAAAGTAATGTTGTTTGCCCATCAGCATGCTGAGATAATTATAAAAGGCTATCAAGTTAACTCAAACAAATAATAACGGTGGGCGGGTAGCGCAGTGGATATCGCATTCGCCTTTTACCAAGGCGGCCTGGGTTCAATTCCCCAATCGGACGTGAAAAGGTATGGGTTCACCAGCTGCCCAACCACGTGGGAAGATTATGTTATACTGATCAAATCATTGACATAATTGTTATTTACCTAACAATATTGTTACTGTTGCATTCTTGTAAATGGGAAACGATGGACGTCATAAATCCTGAAAAAATTGGTTTGCACTAAAATTGTGAACCCCGAAAATTGAGGGATCGCCAGAGTTGCTTAAGAGTTACAAAATGATACACTTGTATTTCTAATACTTTTATTCGCTGTTTTGACTTTTAAAGATCCTTACTTTTCACAGGTAATAGACATACCAATATGATCTGAATTGTATTTCTCACCCATGTTATATATTCCACTATAGTATAGGCACATACGTTGATTGTTTAACTGAAACCTGTTACTTGTTTCTCACAGGTAGTGGATGTCATCGCTAAGGGAGCCTACGGCAATGTTTTACGTGTCAGGAGGGAGGATGAGAAGCAGGTGTACGCAATGAAGGTACTACATGAGTCAGCTATAAATGGGTGTTGGGCAGATTGGTAGATGTTTAAGTCTGCTCAACAAACAAGAACTACATGTATTTGCGTCATTACATAGAGAAATGAGCGTTATTCCAACTTTGGCAAAATAAAATATAGTTGTTGAATGTTAACCGTCGGAACCTGAAATGCCTGTGAGCTTATGCCACTGTGTCTGTTTTCTATATCTCGGTTCATCTGACACACGTTGTTTTCTGGACAATAAGTACAGGTTTTTAGATTGTCTTGTTTATACAGGTTTTAAGATTGTCTGCTCTAGATAGGATTTTGGGTTGTCTGTTTTATACAGGTATTTAGGTTGTCTGGTTTATACAGGTTTATAGGTTGTCTGGTTTATACATGATTTTAGAGTGTCTTGTTTATACAGTTTTTTTAGGTTGTCTGGTTTATACAGGTTTATAGGTTGTCTGGTTTATACAGGTTTTTAGATTGTTGTGTTTATACAGGTTTTTAGGTTGTCTGGTTTATACAGGATTTAATATTGTCTGGTTTATACAGGTTTTTACGTTGTCTGGTGTATACAGGATTTAATATTGACTGGTTTATACAGGTTTTTACGTTGTCTGGTGTATACAGGATTTAATATTGTCTGGTTTATACAGGTTTTTAGGTTGTCTTGTTTATACAGGTTTCAGAATATATATGTACTTTATTGTATGTTTTAATTAGACCTGCATGTTGTATCTCATATTTTGACAATATTTCAATCACATGAAGATCTTTTTGTCCAAATATCAGGTTGAATTCTGAATTAATAAAGCAATACATTATGTAGGTCGTTCTGCCTTGTTGACTGTATGATGAGATACTACTTCGGGGCAGTTTGTTTTCATTCAATATAAACTAATACAGTGCCATTTTAGTAGCAGAAGTTGTCAAACAAAATAAACTACTGGGCTACTTTGGCATTCAGGTTATATTTTTGAAATCACTGATCTGAGGTACGTTATTACAGCAGGCATCCCTATTACATCAAATACAGTATCTGTTTGACACAGATTATGAGGATGTCTGGTTTACGCAGGTTTTCTAACATTCACGAATAAATTCAGGCAAATAACTGCAAATAACTTGGTATAAAAGCTTTAACTTATTCAAGGAAATGTGCTTCATTTGTTAGTATAGGGTTTATCATTGGTAAATAGAGAATATTACATGGTAAAATCCATATTACATGCCATATCATCCCAAGGACCCAATATCAGACCGAGGGCTTCACTCCGAGGTCTGATATTGGTCGAGGGCTATATATTTGTAATATTCTCTATTTGAAGTGAGATTCAACACAAATTTGATAAAAACAAAAACTTTGGTGATAAACAACAAATTTTAATTATGATAACTTGGCATTTGGTTTAGTGGCATTCATGAAAAACAATGCAAGGTGTCTGTCAAGTTACTTTGGGTCTAATTCTTCGATCTGTCTTTCCTCATTTCTAGACTTCACACAGGTTGAAAATTTGTTCAAATCTGACAAAGTCCTTCTTGCCGTATTTGGATTTCCCATTTTTTTCGAAATGTAAATATGGTCATTAAGCTCCAGTATCGGATCAGTCAGTGAATTTAGAATTATGTCACCTTTAGTTTCTTGACCTGACATCATAAGTGACTGACGTATCTGATGTAAACAAATCAGTGGTAGTCTAGTTAGCGCTTATAACTCTAGAGGTGTTCCAAACTTAAAGAGTTAACCGAGTGCCGGTTTGATATGGGTCACGTGAATTAAACCGTATTACACAGGGCTGATATGCAGTATATGGTACTAAGTATATGATAAACAAGGGTAATTTGTCAATGATGGAGTGATATAATGTCTCGGCTGTGTATCTTTATTATAGTTCTTTGTTATATATCTTTGTTATATATATTTGTTATATAATCTTTGTTATATATCTTTGTTATATAATCTTTGAAAACAGATTCTACCAATAATTCCTTTACAGGTGATGAGTAAAACTCAAATCATTGTAGAGGGTGCTATACAGCAGTGTAAAGACGAGGCAGCTATACAGGTGAGTTAATGGAGAAGGGAGGCAGCTATACAGGTGAGTTAATGGAGAAGGGAAGTATGTAACACTTACATTATACTTCCTTCTCATACAGGCTTTCATTAGTGCAGCCATTGACAAAGGTAGTATACATGTATTACAAATAACTTCATACTTCTTAGATGCATCCTCAATTCAAAGGGTTCCACTCATGGACAAGCATTTCTCCCACCCTTCACAGGCTTGTCTCCTGTTTTAGCCGGGAAAGATCAGCTTGTCACCCCCTAGGGGGAGATAGCCCCGTGTCGATTAGCACAGGTTCAATTGTGACGTCATTAAAATGCATCACTGGTAATTGTGACGTCATTAAAAGTGAAAGATGATATTCATACCTCGCATGTGTTTTTGTTAACAAACTTGGTAGATTATTGTTGGTGGAGTTGTGACTGAAATGATAGGATGGGAGAAAAATAATCAACCCCTACCTTAAGGGTGTGACAGAGAAATATCCTACCCGAGGGGTGATTTTTTTGGTTGTCTAACCCTAGGCTCTCACCCCTCGGGTAGGAGATTTCTCTGTCACACCCTTAAGGTAAGGGAAGATTATATTAATCTTCTCTGCACCCCTCACCCTGGAATATCTCATGACAAAATCCAAAGCACATCGTTAGCTACTGGATTGGCTTAGATATAAAAACCTAATCAGTCGCCAGGCTGATACCTTAGATTTCTGTTGAGCTACTGTATATATATGTACCGGTATGGGTCAAAGAAGTAATATAGACGGGACATATTTTCAATTATAGTATATCAATTCTATCTTCTTGCAATATGATGTATATGTACATGTAACTGTTCTGTTTCACGTGTCTTGAAAAAGGAGCAGATTGCTCCGAAAATTTGACAACCTAAACTTGTCCACACTGTTGGAGTTACTTCTTTGCCCCATATATATATACCGGTATATATAGCTACAATCAACTTAAAAGTCTGTCAATCAAACTAGTCTATATGTAACATTTGCAAGGTGTGGCATAAAGAGTCTTCGATACAATTTTGTCACGACATATTCCAGGGATGCATGGTAGAAATGTTTATGAAGATCAGAACCCTTGGATTTTGAGGAAATCTAAGATGAGAAGGAATCTCTAAATGTAATCAACTCATTCACCCCTGAAATTTATATTGAACTATTCCAACCTTTGAATTGGAAGAGTTCAAATATGTCTTCAAGGGTGAATGAGTTAATACCATCATGCATTCTACTGGGATCAAAAGGGCTTTCAACAAAAAAATATCATTTTATTACAATTTTATCACATGGTTTACTACTAGATTTCGCTACCAGACTTGAAATAGTTGAGGAAGAAGCAAACTTCACCACAGGAAAATCCTTAAATGTGTCTTTATATTTTTGTAAGCTGCTTCTAGGATGTCTCACTGTGTAGGAGAGAAACGGGTCAAGATACGCTAAACCTCTGGTCAGTTCGAACTATCTGAAATGTTGAAAAAGGCAGGTTCGAACTATAACTAGACAAACAATTATTGTTTTTATTGTTAAAAAGGTGTGTTCGAACTATCCGCCTATTCGAACTGACCGGAGGTTTACCGTAACCATCTCTATAAATAGAAATTAAGGTTCTGTGTATGTTCTATAATAACCATTCAATAAAGAAGATATTATTGCAGTAACTATGACACTTATTTCTAAAAATCAAGTGTTACCTGTAAGTGATTGAAGTTAATTAGGCTTTTAGTTATTATTTGAAGACTTTTCCTGTTAAATATGCTGAAATGAAAGTTAATTAGTGAACACCCATTACACTGGCAAAATTTCTTCATGTCAATTCATTTCAGAATTTCAGGTCAACCTTACATGAAAAGAGCAAAAAAAGTCAATTTCAGGTGAAAATTTTATCTGAATTCTACCTGAAATTGACCTGAATAGGACTTGAAAAAGCCTTGGTCCGAATTTCAGGTGAAGTTCAGGTCAAGATTGTTTTTGGTCAAATTCAACTGAAGAATTTTTGCCTGTGTAATTATTAGACATGAATAATTTCCATTTCATTGAGATCTGGGTATGTTTATATATGTATTGACATTTGACCTCTGACAGCCGTGTCAATGTGTAACAGGCATCATTTTCATCTGTTGTCAGGCAATGCTTGGTGATCACCCGTTTATTGTGAAGTTACATGAATATTGGCAATCAAAAAAGTTTTTGTATATAGGTAAGTTCCAATATTTTCTACTGAAATACATTTTTTAATGGTGGGTCATGTTCTTTCTTCTTGGTACATATATAAATGTATTGGTTGCTCAAGCATTGGTTTCAGTTTAGCCATTGGTTAAATGCCTTACAGTGGTCAGATATTTAAACTCAGCTGGATTAAGCAACATCCCTCAAAGATAGGCTAATAGAAGCTTTGGGTGATTTGAGTGGTTATCTTTTAACTTCTCAGAATGGGTTGGTGTAATCAATGTTTCCAATGGATAAAGATGGAGAGGTTGATGAATGTTTATGTACACTTGTAACATAGACTGTTTAAACGTTTCCTTGGTTTCCTTGAAGTCCTGTTATAATAATAATAATAATAGTAGTCTTTATTTAAACTTGATTACATTTTGAGTCAAAGACTCGTCTCCCATATGGTCAAGCATATTAAAAGATGTACATTATAAACAACAATGATAAAATAGTACTATGAATGGTTAATTGGTAAGATAATTTTACATGTACATTTTAAATCCACTATTATCACAGAAACAGCTCTAAATGAACGATGACCCGAGCTTTCCAGCGGTGGGGGGGGAGCCCTACCAGCATGGTCAGCCCAGGTATTACATTTTAACTATACAACAGTTACATAAATAATGTGCTAAATTACACAAGTTACACAAATGATGAGCATACATGTTTTTATCCCATAAAATACTGTTTGGGCGGGGCCAAAAAGGGTCAAATTGACTAAAATTTCAAAAATCTTCTTCTCAATATCCACATATGGTAGAATCAAATACTCTTCATAGATAGAAGGGTCTTAAGGTGCTTTACCATAATTCAGCTGACTGACAGAACCACTATTTGTACATAGTACATATACTACCCAGATCTTTTACACTACTTTTGCATTACATGTAGTCAAGTTACCCTTGTTACAAAATGATTTCTTTTTCATTTGGCAACATCGATAACATCAGTTTTTACATTACTCAGGTGACCGTTAAGGCCCATGGGCCTCTTGTTCTGTGTTAACACACATTTTGTTTTAACAAGGAGTCAATTTACCAAAGGTCAAGGTCACTTGGTCAAAGGTCAAGGTTTAAATTTTGTACCTTTTTCCCTGATGAACATTTTGTTATGACATTATGAAGCAATGTTGTTCAGAACTTAACACAGAGTCAACTGACCTTAGTTCATGGTTACTGGGTCCAAAGGGTCAAGGTCAAGTTTTGTATTTTTCACTGATGAACATTTTGTTATGATATTAAGAAGCAAAGGGGGTCGGAATTAAAGAATAAGTCAACTGACCAAAGATCAGGGTCACTGGGTTAATGGTCAAGGTCATTTGGGTCCAAAGGTCAAAGACAAAGTGAATCTCTGGCTCTTGATGGAGAAGGTATTTTAAGTGAAATAAAACAAATCAAAGCTAACAAATGAGTATTGCACCGGTAATTACAGTTCTGTTAGTCCAGCAAATATGGAGGTAGAAGGAAACACATCACATCATAGTACATGTAAAATGTATATTTTGCTTCCTTGCGATTCTTTTTGAAGTCCAAATGTCAAACGTCAAGCTCAGCTATATGGGCAGATTGCTTCTTGATGATTATGGGGGATATAATTGCCACAAGACGGGGCCCTTACTGACCTGTCAGTGTTCTAGTTTGGCAAGTTATCTGTTGTGGTCAACAAGGTCAAAGGCCTTTCTAAAGTCTTAAAATGAAACCCCTAACAAGTATCCCTTATCAATGGAATTTTTTTGTCAGTACAGTCTGACAGGACTGTTGTATTCTAAAGCCTAATTGGCTTTCTAAAATTAGATCATGGCTGCATAAAAAGTTATAAAAATGTTGATGAATATGTTTTTCAAGACATTTGGATAGAATTGGTAGTACTGATATTGGTCTATAATTACTAATTTGTTCTTTATTCCCTTTCTTAAAGAAAGGACTAACTTTAGCATTTTTCTAAAAACTTCGAAAGGTATTAGTTTCAATACTGAAATTCAATAATTTACAAGCTTTAGGTGTAATTGCTTTGGTACAACATTTCAAAAATTTAGCTCCAATGTTATCAAGTCCAGTTGCTTTTAAAGTATCTATATTGACCACAAACTCTTCTTCAAATTTTGGTATATCAAAGGAAGCACCCTCAAGTTTTTCTTCAGTGAACTGTTGAAGTGTACACAAAGTTTCAGAAGAACTACCTCCGTCTGTATTCTGTATATATACTGTTTTGAAATATCTGTAAAATATTGAATAAAAACATTACTAATTTTATCAACATCTGTAATATCTTTACCTTCATATTGAATAAATGTTGGAGATGCTATTTTAGTTGTAGGACAAAGTTTTTTAATGTTTTTCCAATAATCTTGGCTGGAATTCTTGAATTGCTCTAAGACTTCAGAAAAGTAGTTTTTCTTTGCACTTCTGATCATATAGTAACTTTGTTTCTCCACTTTTTGTACATTTCTATGTTACCATCTTGTTTAGGTTTATTTCTAATATGAATACCTATATTAATTTCACTATTCCACCACTCAGGAATTGTATGATATTTAACACGCTTTTCTCTAAGAGGAGCATGCTTATTTACAATGTCCTAAAATAAATCCTGAAAACCAGAAATCATGTCATCTATACAATCAAAGGCATCGAGAGAGGACCATGGAATATTTTCAATATCTTTGTTAAATTTTGACCCATCAATTTTTTTTAAACATCTATATTTAATTGTCGTTTGTTCCTTTGTATATGTTTTGTCTCTTACTCTAACGGCACTAACGGGATAGTGGTCACTAAGAGATACGTCCGACACCTCAGTATATATAACCGCACTAACAGGATAGTGGTCTCTAAGAGATATGTCCGACACCTCAGTATATATAATGGCAATAACAGGATAGTGGTAACTAAGAGATAAGTCCGACACCTCAGTATATATAACAGGATTAACAGGATAGTGGTCACTAAGAAATATGTCCGACACCTCAGTATATATAATGGCACTAACAGGATAGTGGGAACTGAGAGATATGTCCGACACCTCAGTATATATAATGGCAATAACAGGATAGTGGTAACTAAGAGATAAGTCCGACACCTCAGTATATATAACAGGATTAACAGGATAGTGGTCACTAAGACATATGTCCGACACCTCAGTATATATAATGGCACTAACAGGATAGTGGTAACTAAGAGATATGTCCGACACCTCAGTATATATAACAGCATTAACAGGATAGTGGTCACTAAGAGATATGTCCGACACCTCAGTATATATAACAGCATTAACAGGATAGTGGTCACTAAGAGATATGTCCGACACATCAGTATATATAACGGCACTAACAGGATAGTGGTCACTAAGAGATATGTCTGACACCTCAGTATATATTACGGCACTAACAGGATAGTGGTCACTAAGAGATATGTCCGACACCTCAGTATATATAACGGCACTAACAGGGGAGTGGTCACTAAGAGATATGTCCGACACCTCAGTATATATAATGGATGCGGGATGTGTTGTCCAAATGTGATCGACACATGGTTCCCTTGTTAGTATTAGGCACTTTTTATGTATTTTTTACATTTCAGTTTTAGATTATATTCCATATGGCGACACTTTCACCTTATGGACATTCCATGGCTATTTTCCGGAACAACTGGTGAAAGTATTTGTAGCAGAGATGGCCATGGTTTTAGGTAAGTGTAATTTTTGGTAGCCTATGTATACTTCTCACAAAGTGATTATAAGCTTATTTGGAACATTTGAAATCATTTTTGAAACGCTATATATAGAAATCGGATATAAAAATCAGATAGATTTTCCTGTAAATGTACTGGTTATGAAGTGCAAAATAATTTGGTAAATGTTTGATATTTTTTGCAGATTATCTACACAAGTCTGGTGTTATTTACAGAGATATCAAGGTTAGTTGTCACATGTTACCTATTAACTATTATATTTTGTCATGTGTTACCTATTAAATATTATATGTTGTCACATGTAACCTATTAACTATAATATGTTGTCACATGTTACCTATTAACTATTAAATGTTGTCACGTGTTATCTATTAACTATTATATGTTGTCACATGTTACCTATTAACTATTAAATGTTGTCACATGTTATCTATTAACTATTATATGTTGTCATGTGTTACCTATTAACTATTATATTTTGTCACATGTTACCTATTAACTATTATATGTTGTCACGTGTTATTTATTAACTATTATATGTTGTCATGTGTTACCTATTAACTATTATATGTTGTCACGTGTTACCTATTAACTATTATATGTTGTCACGTGTTATTTATTAACTATTATATGTTGTTATGTGTTACCTATTAACTATTATATGTTGTCACGTGTTACCTATTAACTATTATATGTTGTCACGTGTTATTTATTAACTATTATATGTTGTTATGTGTTGTCTATTAACTATTATATGTTGTCACGTGCTACCTATTAACTATTATATGTTGTCACGTGTTATTTATTAACTATTATATCTTGTCATGTGTTACCTATTAACTATTATATGCTGTCGCGTGTTACCTATTAACTATTATATGCTGTCACGTCTTACCTATTAACTATTATATGCTGTCACGTCTTACCTATTAACTATTATATGCTGTCACGTCTTACCTATTAACTATTATATGCTGTCAGGAGTTACCTATTAACTATTACATGCTGTCACGTGTTACCTATTAACTATTATATGCTGTCACGTGTTACCTATTAACTATTATATGCTGTCAGGGATTTTGTACCTTGTAATGGTGTAGTCAATCCTTCATGTCTGCAAGATAATTTTAGCAGTCCAAAAGAATGCTTCAAATACCTAATACTAACATTATTAAAGAATGAGTAACATCTGATTTGTCATTGTTTTGATTTCAGATGGAAAATATACTATTAGATGTTAATGGTGAGTATAAGAATTGATTCTCAGTCAATCTATTAATCCTTCAGTGTCATTAAACACACCTACCGCATCTAACACCCATCAATGTTTACTATATGGATAAATCTGGGGAGAAGGTTTGAGGGCTAATTAGATAAATGTACATTTCAAAGAGATTTTAACTTGGATTGGTATGGTGTTAATTTTGTACTACAGTTTGAAAAGTCAAATTGTTCAAAACATTTTTTTTTTGGGAGTTTCAGCCTTTCGTAGTGAAATTTCCTATATTTGGCATGTTTTTCCAGACCATAAATATGGAAATTTATGCTCCTTGTAATTAGTGCTTTTAAAGTATTTTATTATAATCTACATGGTTTTAATTTTATTCTGTATTACAGGACACATACAGCTAACAGACTTCGGTCTTTCCAAATGGCTAAATATCAGGGAGAGGACGCGGACAGTCTGTGGGACGTTGCAATATATGGGTGAGGTTTAGACCTTAGCATTGTATGTGTAGTGTAATAATGACCTTAGCATTGTATGTGTAGTGTACTAATGACCTTAGCATTGTATGTGTAGTGTCATATAGACATTAGCATTGTATGTGTAGTGTACTAATGACCTTAGCATTGTTTGAGTAGTGTACTAATGACCTTAGCATTGTATGTGTAGTGTAATAATGACCTTAGCATTGAATGTGTAGTGTACTAATGGCCTTAGCATTGTATGTGTAGTGTACTAATGACCTTAGCATAGTATGTGTAGTGTAATAATGACCTTAGCATTGTATGTGTAGTGTACTAATGACATTAGCATTGTATGTGTAGTGTACTAATGACCTTAGCATTGTTTGAGTAGTGTACTAATGACCTTAGCATTGTATGTGTAGTGTACTAATGTCCTTAGCATTGTATGTGTAGTGTAATATAGACATTAGCATTGGATGTGTAGTGTACTAATGACCTTAGCATTGTATGTGTAGTGTAATAATGACCTTAGCATTGAATGTGTAGTGTACTAATGGCCTAAGCATTGTATGTGTAGTGTAATAATGACCTTAGCATTGTATGTGTAGTGTAATAATGACCTTAGCATTGTATATGTAGTGTAATAATGACCTTAGCATTGTATGTGTAGTGTAATAATGACCTTATCATTGAATGTGTAGTGTACTAATGGCCTAAGCATTGTATGTGTAGTGTACTAATGGCCTAAGCATTGTATGTGTAGTATGATAATGATTTAGATGGATACAAATACTTTATTGATTTAATTACCTCATCTATTAAAAAGAACTTTGATAGGTCGTTATTTTTCTTAAAAATTTCAGGGGTTAGGCTCACTTACGTTTTCAGCGCCCCTGGAATATGTCATGGCAGAACTGAAGCCACCCAGTTAGCTATTCGATTGGTTTCAGGTAAAAAAAAGACCAGTCGCTGGTGACATACACTGCTGCGCAGTTATTTTGATGTACATCAAATGATCAAACTAGTCTTCTTTAACAATGGTTGTGCATACAGAGCCTGTGATTGTGTCATAACATATTCCAAGGGTGCAGAGAATGTAACAGAGCGTAACCCTCCAATAACAAGGATGATCTTTGTTGGCTCACAACTGACTGTAAATATCTCAATTAGGGATAACAAGAATTCTCTGAAACTAGGTAACCAATCACAGTAAGCCTATGATTGACTGAAACTCAACTCAAAACCTTTATAGGACCGCCAGTCTGGATATCCCAAAAACTTTTATAGGAACGCCAGTCTGGATATCCCAAAAACCTTTATAGGACCGCCAGTCTGGATATCCCAACAACCTATATAGGACCGCCAGTCTGGATATCCCAAAAACCTTTTTTGGACCACCAGTCTGGATATCCCAAAAACCTTTATAGGACCGCCAGTCTGGATATCCCAAAAACCTTTATAGGACCGCCAGTCTGGATATCCCAAAAACCTTTATAGGACAGCCAGTCTGGATATCCCAAAAACCTGTATAGGCCCGCTAGTCTGGATATTCCAAAAACCTTTTTTGGACCACCAGTCTGGATATCCCAACAACCTTTATAGGATCGCCAGTCTGGATATCCCAAAAACCTTTATAGGACCGCCAGTCTGGATATCCCAACAACCTTTATAGGACCGCCAGTCTGGATATCCCAAAAACCTTTATAGGACCGCTAGTCTGAATATCCCAAAAACTGCAATCTCTGTTTGACTTACATGAATTACAGATTAAAGTAGCAGATTTTATGTAATGTTTTGCCTCCCCTTTTAAATGCATTAAACCCATTTACAGACTGATTTGTTCTTTTTGACAGCTCCGGAGGTGCTTTCTGCTCAGGCCTATGGTCACACTGCTGATTGGTGGTCCCTCGGAATTCTCATGTTTGTCATGTTGGCAGGCAAGGTAGGCAATATTTTCTTCCTTAACACAGTTGTAAGCTTATTGGTCAATTCTATATAAGCTAGGAATATTAAAAATACATGTAAATAAGCTTAAGTTAAGCTAAGTTATAGTAAACTGTGTGTAACTTAAGATGTAGTTACCTCTTTAAGTTACATAATGTACACATTGTAATAAACTTGACTGGGATGGTAAACTGTAAAAAACGACATAAAAATGACCCTGTTTTACTTCAACTGGACCAAAGTATCCATTTTTTCATACACTTGCCTAGATCTTGAAACAGTCTAAGGCTTTATTAGGTGAAATTTCAGATATGGAAAAAGGTAATATTTCTCTTATTAATCAGTCAGGATTTGGTGAATTAGTCCATATTTGCAACATGTATATATATACCCATGTATAAAGTCATATTCTGGTACAAAACTGATAATAAAACAATTTCATTGCTTCTAAATTCTTTTGTAGCCCTGGACTAAAGCATTAATGCAGGCAGGGTATTAAACTGATTGTTTTGTCTGTAAATTGAACCAATGCTTCCTTAACTATTGTCAGCATTATTCATTAGTGCTGTTTTTATCCGGGAACAACCTACTGCACCCATGTCCAACACAGTTGTAGTAAAATTATAGCAGATGGTATCTCATTTTCCTGCGATAAGCTCACTCTGTACTTTGAGTTAGATTGTATGTGTAGCCCCATTGGGCTTGTGCTAGATAGATATCGCAATTGTACCAAAATACAATTTTTTTATCAAGCGTAACATATGTATCGACAGAAAATTGTTTGGATATTATTGTCAGCGGGCCAGATTGTGCGGTAAAATTGATACAGGTGATTTTAGCACAGTATGAGTCTTGATTAATGTTTTCTATTCTACTACTTCCAACAGTACCCAGCAGAGGGCGCATCTGATCACAAGGAGATGGCCACAAAAGTATTTGACTGTGATTACTTATTACCAAACTTTGTCAGCGACCGAGCACAGGAAGTCATTGATAAGGTGAGACCATATTATACAGTGATCTACTTTGGTAGTGAAACTTCTTGTATGAATGTTTAAGGTGTGACCCAGGACTCTGATGACCAAATACATTAATAATACTATTAGTTTTGGCTTTTAAAAATTCCAATGTTATAGTCCAGGCAAAAATTGACCAACTGATGTACCAAGGTTTTTCTGTCTCTCTTATTCAGAATTTAGCTTATTAAGAATATTGAATTAACAATTGTCCATCATGGATTTAAAGACTTGTTGCTATGGTATTCCTGTCTTTATGTGGTCTTAAAAACATGTTCAGGTGTATATTTGTGTCATCATGAATCACAGTACAAGTTAAAGTAATGGCAAATCTCAACTGAAGAACTCCAATACTGACGGCCATATCATCAGATGTTATTTACTGTACATCATGTGGAGACAAAGCTAAATGTTTCTCTGTATAATCTGAAGTAGAAACATCCTGTATCCATGCATAGAAATCCCATGACCCTGGTACAGCACTAATGGGATTTTGATCAATACCATCTAAAATTACCCAGTATGTCTTACTATCCTTCTTACTGTCTTTAATTTATTTCATATTTACAGTATTATATTTCATAATAACAAAACATCTTTTTTTCTCCTCAGCTTTTAATGAAAAGACCGGAGAGACGACTATCAGATCTCTTTACTTTACAGAATATGCCATTTTATCGACTTTTCGACTTCACAAGTGCTATAGAAAGAAAAGTAAGTACAGTGACTTTTAGGTGATATTAAAGTTACAAGTACTGATTGAAGTTATGGCTGTGCAGAATGTGTCATGGTTTGTTAGTTTACATTTGTTTATATTCCCTCCTAGAAAACAAACATCAAAAACTCCGTTGTTATTGTCCAGTTTGACAGTTCTAAGGTTTGAGGGATTGGTACAAAGGTAGTGCTACATGATGAAACTTAGACACAGTTTACTTTGAATAACAAGATTGATTGAACTCCTTACTGGCTAGCCCTTACCATTGCCATCTTCTCGTGATATGGACTGGATTTGTATGATATTACAATTTTACCAGTAAAATATCAAGAATTATTAGATATAGTTCTATCTTTCATTGCAGTGAAAAATGTCAAAAGGGATATTGGTACTTCTGTAAGAAATTAACAGCTTTTTTGAGATAGGTAAAAAATGAAAAGTAATGATGTTTTGATATAGAAAAGAAAGTAACAGTTACAATGTTTGAATATAGATAAGAAATGAACAGGCATGATTTGATATAGGTAAGAAATAATCAGTTAATATGTTTGAATATACAAATGTAGGTAAAAAATGAAATTTTATAAGTAAAAAAACATTTATAGGAAATTTGTTTAAGATGAACCTTTGAAACAGGAAAGTAATTGAGAAAAAACTCACCAAATGTCAAACAATGAGTGTTCTGTGTACATCAATTCACTCACTGTATTATAGGTACATAGCTAACATATGTAAATATTATAATAATCAATGAGTTGTGTTTCTCACCTTTACAGATCAATCCTAAGACTGTGGTACCAGAAGACTTTTTCCCCATGACAGGTGTGAGCTTCAGCTACTCCCCAAACACAGAACCTCCAGAGGAAGATGAATTTGCAGAGGTAAGGAATGTAGATTGACATGTGGGACCTGCCTAAACAAGTTCTTTGTTTACCCTGGACTGACTTGTATTTTATTGGTTGTAGAGGAGGTGATATTATTCTATTACAGTTTTTGATGTAGTGGGGTATTCATTAATTTAAATTTTAATTAAATCTACATAAATAAAAACACCAATAAAAGATGTTGACAAAATAAAGTTGAAAGATGGACTAGATATGAAGGGGGAAAATACATCATAGTACATTGTATCTCCATCTAGTTTTTTTTTTTATCATATTTCAGAATTCCTGCAAAATAAAAATAAATAAATAATAATTTTAGATTAGCGCAACAAATGATGTATTTCTGGTACAATGTATTAGTTTCACTGCAAGTTATCAGTATGAATATACTAGTAATTCCATGGGTTTCCAGTGGCTCTTGTGCATCATTTTGAAGTTCTCAGTTGCGTTTGTAAAACACCTTAATTATGGTATTCTTTTGAATACCATGTACTTTTCACAAATATTACAGCAAATGTTTTAGGTGTCGGTACTATGTTACATTATATATTTTAGGTGTCAGTACTATATTACATTATATATTTTAGGTGTCAGTACTATGTTACATTATATATTTTAGGTGTCAGTACTATGTTACATTATATATTTTAGGTGTCAGTACTATGTTACATTATATATTTTAGGTGTCAGTACTATGTTACATTATATATTTTAGGTGTCAGTACTATGTTACATTATATATTTTAGGTGTCAGTACTATGTTACATTATATATTTTAGGTGTCAGTACTATGTTACATTATATATTTTAGGTGTCAGTACTATGTTACATTATATATTTTAGGTGTCAGTACTATGTTACATTATATATTTTAGGTGTCAGTACTATGTTACATTATATATTTTAGGTGTCAGTACTATGTTACATTATATATTTTAGGTGTCAGTACTATGTTACATTATATATTTTAGGTGTCAGTACTATGTTACATTATATATTTTAGGTGTCAGTACTATGTTACATTATATATTTTAGGTGTCAGTACTATGTTACATTATATATTTTAGGTGTCAGTACTATGTTACATTATATATTTTAGGTGTCAGTACTATGTTACATTATATATTTTAGGTGTCAGTACTATGTTACATTATATATTTTAGGTGTCAGTACTATGTTACATTATATATTTTAGGTGTCAGTACTATGTTACATTATATATTTTAGGTGTCAGTACTATGTTACATTATATATTTTAGGTGTCAGTACTATGTTACATTATATATTTTAGGTGTCAGTACTATGTTACATTATATATTTTAGGTGTCAGTACTATGTTACATTATATATTTTAGGTGTCAGTACTATGTTACATTATATATTTTAGGTGTCAGTACTATGTTACATTATATATTTTAGGTGTCAGTACTATGTTACATTATATATTTTAGGTGTCAGTACTATGTTACATTATATATTTTAGGTGTCAGTACTATGTTACATTATATATTTTAGGTGTCAGTACTATGTTACATTATATATTTTAGGTGTCAGTACTATGTTACATTATATATTTTAGGTGTCAGTACTATGTTACATTATATATTTTAGGTGTCAGTACTATGTTACATTATATATTTTAGGTGTCAGTACTATGTTACATTATATATTTTAGGTGTCAGTACTATGTTACATTATATATTTTAGGTGTCAGTACTATGTTACATTATATATTTTAGGTGTCAGTACTATGTTACATTATATATTTTAGGTGTCAGTACTATGTTACATTATATATTTTAGGTGTCAGTACTATGTTACATTATATATTTTAGGTGTCAGTACTATGTTACATTATATATTTTAGGTGTCAGTACTATGTTACATTATATATTTTAGGTGTCAGTACTATGTTACATTATATATTTTAGGTGTCAGTACTATGTTACATTATATATTTTAGGTGTCAGTACTATGTTACATTATATATTTTAGGTGTCAGTACTATGTTACATTATATATTTTAGGAGTCAGTACTATGTTACATTATATATTTTAGGTGTCGGTACTATGTTACATTATATATTTTAGGTGTCGGTACTATATTACATTATATATTTTAGGTGTCAGTACTATATTACATTATATATTTTAGGAGTCAGTACTATGTTACATTATATATTTTAGATGTCAGTACTATGTTACATTATATATTTTCCTTTGTTTTATGCACTGTTATGATTGCTCATTGACTAACAGAAGTGTTCACCTCCCTTTACAGTTTGACTTTGTATGGAACCTACCTTCTGATGCTGAACCAGTGTTCGTATGATAGACTTCTTAGTGACACCAATTCTCAAACTTGCTCAAGGTCAGACCTGTGTGGTACAGGTCAAGGTCAAACATGTGTGGAACAGGTCAAGGTCAGGCCTATGTGATACAGGTTAAGATCAGACCTGTGTGGTACAGATCAAGGTCAGACCTATGTGGTATAAGTCAAGGTCAGGCCTCAGAGATACAGGTCATACATGTATGGTACAGGTCAAGACCAGACTCCATTTGTACTGGCCAGTGGTAGGATTTGTGACAAGGTCAGTTATGAAGGCCATTTGAATGTGAAGCTGATTTTAATCAATTATTAAAATTATTAAAATATTTGTGAGAACCAAAGATGGACAAGATACACCACTGGAAAGTTTTAGAAAGTTCTACTTGTAACTTTTCAGATAACCATTGACTTGGAACCAGTAAACCAGGTCAGTCACTTGTGCTGATATTGTTCAGGAATCAGTCTTCTAAAGAAGATGGAGATGATATTAAGTTTCAGGATAAATAAAATCCATTCTGTTGTTGTTGTTCATAGGAAACATCATTCAGAAGTTCAATGTCCTTTTGTTGACTGAATAGAAAGGAAAAGCTTGACTTTGAGTTATTTTACATAATTACCTCCAGCATTTATCTCCTGATACACTGCTGACTTGATGTTGTGTCTCTAGTCCAGTAGTTAGAACTTGAACACCATACAACAACAGATCATCTGTGACTCCCTTGGGCCCCAATTTCTGTGTTAAGGCACCTCGTACATTAGCCTAATGGTGAAGAGGAAATATGTGTGGGGGGTAATTTAATACAAACCATATAATATCAATGAAACTTTGTTTCAATCATTCCTAGGGCTCTCACTAAGACTAAATATCAGGTGCAGAGATTAGTGTTACAGTATTACAAGTTTGCTCATGTATCAATCTAACTTTTCCTCCACTTGTAATATTGACTACACACAATGTGTCAGTGTTGGAGCTCACATCAACTATACCAACATGAAACATACTGAAAATAAATCCCTGTTAACAGTAACCAGCTGTAAGGGCCACTGAAGATGCTGACGTAGAACCCTACCCTTCTAAATTAACTAGCCCCATAGTCATAACACTGGTCTCATGCTCAAATTAAAGGTACGTGGTACGACTGAATATCTTGTAACTAAATTAATGAGATCTTTAACAGAATCAAAATGTTAACACTAAATATGGTATTCCGCTACTGATTTTTGTTGAAGAACCGGCAGAATTATACAAAATTTAAAAACGTATTTTTCAATCGTATTATTAATTGAGCTGGAGCTAAGGATATGAGATGGAGTGCAGCTTTGTGAATACAGGGCCTAGTTTCTTGACATGAATACTGTTCATACAACTAATGCTTGCCTCAATGATGCAAAATTTCAATATGAATGTTTCCGGAACCCATATCAGGTTACATTTAGTGTATATATTGAGTGAATGAAGACTGATAAGTGGTTGAAGTGGGTATGGTAGAAAATTAATCAAGTTTACAGAGTATATTATGATGTCTTCATTAATTGTGATTTACTGTCTACTTCAAATTATTTGTATTTTATTGTCAAACATTTTCAAGAATTCCACTTGTTATGATATATACAATCTTAGTGTTGTATGTGCTATCTGTTGTAATGTTGGCCATGTACTTTCTTACTAAAATTGGATGGGAATTATTAACTTTTCCTTTTACACATTCTTCTGGCCAAATCGTATGTTGGGCTGTATAGTGGTAATCTGAAATAGCCAAATCTTTTAAAAGTTGTATAATTTTCCTATTGACTTGTTATTTCTATATTTGTACCATTTTATCTACTGTTAAAGGTAATTCCCTCTCTACATTTAGAGTTACTTCCCTTCTCGCCATAAGAGTTATTTCCCTTCTTTACTCTAAGAGTTACTTCCCTTCTCTAATTTCATATAATATGATAGTTTTTTCTCCTTCAGAGTTTTATTAACAAATTATAATCATGCGCAACAGAATTTCCAATTGTAGAAATACTTATTACTAGTGACGTGCCATCTTTGTATAACCACACTTTCTGTCTTCCATTAATAGATATAAGTGCATATATATGGAGGAGGTTTTACTGTAGTGTTTCCTGACTTCTTTGTATAAAATTTAATTATCGGTTTCTACTCAAATTTTTGTTATTAATAATTGTTATATGTGAATGTTATCTTAAGGGTGCATTAATGTAGATAAGTAACATTCAAACATTGCTCACATTTAGCTATTGCTTTTTTCTTTGGTTTGCTTAGCTTCCTATTAACTTATACAGCAATTTTATCCAACAATTCAATGTTCATTCTACCATTGGATATGCAAACTTCCTGGGGTGCGAAAACAAGAAATTGTAAATTACTGGAGCAGCATGAAATATATTTCCTAATTTAGTCTCTAATGCTTTAACTGTACTTTCAAAGACAAAATATACGGTATAATAAATATCTGTTAAATAGGAGTTGGAGGCAACTCATAGTGTCAAGATAACTCTATATTGTTGAAACGTTTTTTTGTATTGATTAACAAAGCTGATAATGTAAAATCACAGTGCCATATAAAACTGAATAGTGTGAATTGAAAAATGTTATATGATAATTAACTGCTATGATTTCTATATAATTCCCAATTTTAATGTATGTATGATTTTTTTTCTCAAAGTAAGGAGTATGAGAGCTGTTCATTAGAATCAATATCTGTAGATTCTACTTGCTATTCTCCCCCCAAGTTTTGAAATATTCTCTAGCTCCTGATTTGAAACAGTATATGGATTTCAGAAGTAAATTATATTAAATGCACTTTGTTTCTTGAAATGTGCCCATACGATATATTTATGGATATATGAATTCACAATTGAGAGGATGCTATTCTATGAAGTTAATACAGTATTTGCTTAAATCTCTTGAATGTGTCTCGTCAAGTATTTACGCTAAAGATAATCATTCATGGAAACAAAAGTGATTTGGTTGTCAAGGAAGGGTGGACACTCTGGTTGTATAAGAATACATAGCTCACAGTTTATTGCAGTTAACTCTAGTAGAAAGTATAGTGATGATACATGCTACGTGAACCTCGTAATTTACTTTAATCTCTTCCAAGAATTTCTACATGTAAAATAAAACTTCAAATGACCTGGGCTATTGTCGGGACGTAAAACCCCTGAAACGAAACCCTTCTGTAACTAATGTTAATTAATCAATGCCACATTAGCATACACAACATTACATTTACATTGCTATTGATGAAAGAACTCTGACGTAACGTAGATTAATTCTTTTAACCCTTTCACCACTGTAGACCATAATGGACTTAACCAGATCAATGCATGGTAGAGTTTACTGAAGTTACATAGAGGTGAAATGGTTAAGGGAGATAAAGTCCTAGATAGATAATATGTAAGGTAACATATATACTTAAGTAGGTAGTACACAGTAAATACGTTACTCAACAGAATACGGGAAGTTATCAGTGAAACTGTTATATTTACTTTGTTTGTATAAGAAAACAAATATATGATTTCTTTATTATAATACAACGGAAAACTAAATATCGCTGATTCAGAGGTCAGTTAATCTTTATAACTTTTTTCTAAACAATTTACTTTCTTGATGCTGCTATCAAGAACTGAGTTGCTTCACCAACAACTTTAATGACAGTTATCCAGTGACTTTGTTATTCTGAAAAATATTTTTGGTACGAAAAAATCTAGAACTTATTACAATCTAGACTGTTAAATGTATCCATTACCATCTAGACCATTAAATGTATCCATTACAATCTAGACCATTAAATGTATCCATTCATTTTAGACCATTAAATGTATTCATTACAATTTAGACCATTAAATGTACCCATTACAACCTTGACCATTAAATATATTCATTACAATCTAGCCCGTTAAATGTATCCATTACAAACTAGACCGTTAAATGTATCCATTAATTTTAGACCATTAAATGTATTCATTACAATCTAGACCATTAAATGTACCCATTACAACCTTGACCATTAAATGTATTCATTACAATCTAGGCCGTTAAATGTATCCATTACAAACTAGACCGTTAAATGTATCCATTACAATCTAGACCATTAAATGTATCCATTACAATCTAGACCATTAAATGTTAGCATCAATATCCTAGTCTGGACCATTAATACTTTACTTAGATATACTAGTCTGGACCATTAAATGTATTCTCTTATAACCCAGTTTTTATCGTACCAATAGAAATGTCTAAGATATACCTGTATTAACCTGGACCATCAAACGTTTAGCCAGATGGATTTTACATTGTATCAGTTTGGACCATTAAAAATATACAGAGATGTACAGTACCAGTCAAAACCTTTATTAAACCAGTCACAATTAATTAAGGTACATTTCAACCATTGATCTTGCATCCTGACCCATTAAAATTAGGCATGATTTACAAGTCTGACCAAATAAACCTATATATACCAGCTGGATCATTGAAAATGTAAGTGTAGTTGAACACAAATCTGAACCATTAAAAAATAGTCTTAACCATTAATTAGACCTATTGAAAGTGTCCTCTAATATACAAATATGATCCATTAAATGATTTTATCCTCAGATATACAAGGGTTACCAATCGGTCACCTATTTATAGTAACTATGGACCATTAAAAATAGACCTACTACCAACACAACAGTGGGAACAAGTCTTATAATTTATTCCATATTTTATATTTTCTACCATGGCAGGGAATGCTATCTTTTCCTCATCATGTTCTTAATGTATTAGGTTTATAAAATAGCTAGAAACATTTCCAAATACAGATAAAATAGATAGTCATTCAAACACTGTTCATTAGCTCTGTTAAGTAATGATCACATGAAATTTTGGAAAAAATACCAGTGGCAAATTTAACCATACATGCTCATGAATGTCACGGTTTTGTATTAGTTCCATACTTTAACCTTTCTAATATCACTGTTACCCCTGTACACTTAAAACATTTACAATCACTTCAAATCACAAGGGATGATCTGTGATGCCTTGTTTAACAAGATATTACTTTTGTGAAATCTGTGCCTCTGACAAAAATATTTGTTTTTAATTTGTAAACCTCTTTGATCTCAATTGAAACCTGAATGCCCCCTCCTGATATTGCCTGTAACGCTATATGCTTTCCTTGTCAAGACGCTTGACTGATGATCTGAATCTGTGTACGCAATAGCTTTAGATGTTGTGTATTTTTATTGTTGTATGAATTATAAATGCCACATTGAAATATTTTTAAGATTTGTTTATTATTAATTGATGCAATAATGTGATTTATGTTAAATTATTGGGTGAGATGGTTGTTATACTAACATAACATGTTTGTTTGCCAGATTTTGTTATTTTTGCCTTGATTAGTAATGATCTACACATGTACTACACAGTGATATTCACTGAATAATACATGCAATGTTTTAAGGCAGTATGTCATCCACTCATTTTGATATAAGGGAGTTCTGCCCGAAGAAAATGAAGTTAATAATAGATGACTGTGTAATTAAGCGGGGGGCACATTTGAAAAATACACATGAATACATTGATAACACACCCACTATCAAACTTCTGAAAAATACACATGGATACATTGATAACACATGCACTATCAAACTTCTGAAAAATACACATGGATACATTGATAACACATGCACTATCAAACTTCTGAAAAATTAGGTACAATAGTCTTTATTAGTAATGTTATAGGGAGATAACTTCAAAACAGATGATATTGTTGTAAATTAGTATACATTTTTATGTTTGTCTCTACCCCAATCTTGGCTTACCAGTATTTTTGCTAAACCTTAACTAGATGAGATGCTGGTCAGTGACACTGCTCAATTCATACCTATTTTGATTTTTCTTGTATGTGGTTTTAGAAGCACAAATCAGGGTTGTGTTATGGTTTATTTACCTTTTATACAGGAAACCTATATATTGCGACACCGCCATAACCAGGACATGTTGATTTTTGTGCACTTTGGAATGTCATTACAGTTTAAACACATTCTCTTTAAAGTTGAACGTTTGTTTATATTACGGCAAAAATGAATACTTCTGTAAGTAACATTACTGGAATAATTCTGGATTTACCAATTTTCAAGATGATACAATAATGTTTAGGATGGTTTTCTGAAATTTGCAGATGTAAATGAATGTCAAAACCTAGATATCTCAAATTTGTACATCATACACATATTGTTAGAAATGATCAAAGTCACATTCTGAGTGTCTGAATAAGGTCACAATAAGAGATGAAATGAGGTCAGTTTACCTTGATGAAAAAGATAACAATAGATGTGTCTAGTCATCTGTGTAACCATCAATGGTGTGTCTCTGACATTACACTGTACAGTACCCTTCTGTATCATGGAAAGTAATTGTAGTGGGAAAATCTTTCACCCTGTTTCATGTGCATGATGTCACAATGGGATAATGATGACGTGATGTCACAAAACGGGATAATTTAGATGCTACTAGGCGCAAAGTGTAACACTTATTTTTGTGGTTTCTGAGCTAATTCTGGTGATTGGATTTAGAGAAAAATACTTTATCATTCCCAGGGGTATTAGACAGGGAAATTCAACCCTTAGGATTTTCAAATTGATGCAAAACACTCAGCAAGCTTTGGGTTTTACCCACTTTGGAAACCACTAGGGTGGAATTTCCCTATCATGCATCCCAGGATATGAAAGAGCCTTATAGTCATGTTGTTGTTATTGGCTAGCTATGCAAAACACCAGGACCGTTGTCGGATTGTATGTGTAATGTTTGATTGATATTGTTGTGTCATGCGTTTATGAGTCTTACAATAATGAAAATTGGATTTATAATTGCAATTAATTACATCTTGGCATGACATTAAGGTTGATGTGTGTGGTACCATATACATTAAAGATGTATGAAACCATGACAAAAAATTAACTCATTCACCCCTGAAGACACATTTGAACTCTTCCAATTCAAAGGTTGGAATAGTTTAATACGGAATTTCAGGGGTAAACGAGTTAAAACTAAGAGCATTACCAGCAAGCTGTGAAGGTATGATATATGGTGCATTTCTTGTTGCATCTGTGAAAGATCTACTTGTCAGGGCACTCCGGACAGGGGTCGGGTTGGAATAGATTTATTGTTAGTGTCATAATGGCCAACATAATGCTGTCACAACATAACAACATAGGAACATTAAGATAACGTCACAAGAACGGTAAATTGTAATTTCACCAGTAGATTTTATGGGATAAACGTGCAAATTGGGAAAGAAACTCATTACAAATGTTGATAATCTTTGTTTTGGAGCATATTATTGATAGAAAAGAATCACCTCCCAGGAAAGTCTTAACCCTTGGGGTGAGATTCATAATGCAAGCCTTTTGTTTGACAATCAAGCATATCATAATTTTAGTTGAGATATCTCTGTCAGACCTTCACAGTTCTCTGTGTAGAGGAGTGATCTGCCCCATTTCTGTAGTGATGTGAAGAATTTCTCCGGTGAAAATATTTGGGTTTTAGATGATCAAAAGCAAAATCTGGTTCATCACAGATCATAAGTTTTACTGATGATAATGACGTTAACTTTAAAATTGAAAGAGACAAAGAAACATGAACTGAATTAAGTGAAAATTGGTAGAAATCTTTTTTTTCATCAAGTTTATCCATAATACATTTATTCCAATTTTTGTCTATGGTACAGGAGTGAATATTGAAAAAATAAATAAGGAAAGAAAACACATTTTGTATGTCTTCTTTATATATTATTGGACATTATAACTTTTCCACAGTGCTTGTTTGATAAGTTGGGCACCAGAAAAAATGCTATACTCTAGGAAGTGGAACGTCCGCTAGCATTTGAAAGCGTTCCGTATCAGGAAGGAGTGTCGGAGGAGTGTTTTTCCATATATATCCTTATCAGCCATCCTCTAAAAAGGCTTTCAGCAGATACAGGTACATGAAATTCAAGCGGAGGACACGTGCAGGGTATCAAACTTAAAATCTTATGGATGGTTACAAGTACACAGCAACAGTACATCCAAAGCCGAGAAAGTTCAGTTCTGTATTTGCCAGAGGATCACATGGATGCATTATCACTTGGATCATCACTCCACTAAAGAGTACCAGTAACCGGCTATTAAGCCAAGCTAATCCTCGGAGCTGATGGTTTTAAAACAACTTATGTCTGATGAGAGCAGTCCAGATAACACCCAAACCAATATTTGAGTTCCGGCAATCCACCAACACTACAATCAGACTGGGAGAAGGAGAATTTGATGTTAATATTCAAGATTATTCCAGACTTGCTTACCTCGATTCTGTTGTAAGATACAAGAGTACACAGGAGAAAGTAGTATAAATGACCACCTTTTCACAAGCATAATCACTTATATATTTATAGGTATAATTGAAAACTATCGTGGAATCGGAAAAAATCACCTGAATGAAAGCAGAAAATAATAAACAAAAGAATAAATGAATCGGTAAATGAAAGTCAAACACATACAGTATATGGTGTGTCGAAAGAGAGCCCCATACGAGAAGACATACTGTTAAGGATGATGATCCAAGGGCCTCAACCCTTGTAAAACATAATCGGTAAAAGGATTACCTCCACAAAACAGAGCACTTTGATTAGCAGCACAGTTTTGGCTGTCACTGATTTGGTCAGTCACTGATGTGTGATGTGGTTAGTCACTGATGTGGTCAGTCACATCACCACTGATGTGGTCAGTCAAGTCACTGATATGGTCAGTCAAGTCACTGATGTGGTCAGTCAAGTCACTGATGTGGTCATTCAAGTCACTGATGTGGTCAGTCAAGTCACTGATGTGGTGACTGGTCAGTCACTAATCACCACCATTGATATTCAGCAATCTGAGTAATCTAAGGACAGACTGATAACTTTAAAAGCGCTTCGGTGGCTCATTACAATACCGGATCAATATATATCAGACAACGAATCTAAAATTTTCATCAGGAAAAAACCCTTAACAAGTGGAAATGAAAAGGTACGCATGTGAAACAGCAGATGTCTTCTCTGAGGTGCCTCAGGGGACATCAATTAGGGCGATTCTGTCCCTAATGTACATCAATTAGGGCGATTCTGTACCACGGTATACTTTTGTGCGGTACATATACTTCGTTTCTGTACCACGGTATACTTTTTTGCGGTACATATACTTCGTTTCTGTACCGCGTTACACTTTTGTGCGGTACACAAACGAAGCATTTATACGTCGTTTCTGTATCACGGTACACTTTTGTGGTACACTTTTGCGTTACAGTTTTATTGTTCGTTTCTGTCCCGTTCTACAGCCGAAAGCGGCCGTGGTACAGTTTTAAACAGACATTGGACTTAGATGATAGTGAATCCAACCACTTTTCCTTAACATTTTTTTTTGTCACCAATTCCAATAGCTCACTACTTTTTTCCTGCCTATTTTACTTCTGTATATTGCTGAACTTAAAGATAGGCCCCAAGAGAATGGAAGGAGGCAAAGTAAAGTAATAACAAATTAAAAAGTACCGGAACACGGAAAAAAAGTAAACGACAAATGTATATGAATTCAAATATCGTTATACATATAATTCACATGCAAATAACACTTTTTTTGCTTAACAAACATTCCATTTTATATAAACAATCCTTATCATGTATGAGCCTTCCACCGAAGAGTTAAATGAGACCTCAACATTCCACAGCGTCGATCCGTTATGTTTTAATAGGAACATTAATAGCTCAGGGTCAGTTTAGGTCATTTGCTATCAATGGCCGCTGACGACCACACAATAGTGTATCGTGGTACACAAACGAAGTATATACACGCTTCAAATATGTCCGGCCGTTTTCGGCTAACGGTACATAATCTAAGTATATTTTTTTTATATGCTTCGTTTGTGTACCACGCAAAAGTGTATCGTGGTACACAAAAGAAATGAACACGCTTCAAATATGTCAGGCCGCTTTCGGCTAACGGGACACAAACCAAGCATGAATGCTTCAAATTGGTCCGGCCGCGTTCGGCTAACGGTACAGAAACGACGTATAAATGCTTCGTTTATGTACCGCACAAACTTGTACCGTGGTACACAAACGAAGTATATGTACCACACAAAAGTAAAGCGTGGTACATAAACGAAGTATAAATGCTTTAAAAGTGTCTGGCCGCCTTCGGCCATCGTAAGTAACAGCCAGATACGAAAACTTACCTGTAGTGGACAGGATGTACGTTTTGCTTCTGTATCGACCAAGTAAAAGATTGGGACCACAGTTCTTGTATCGACCGGTACCCGACTTTGACGAGATGTGTGATATTTTATATAGTTAGTCTTAATTTTATGCATTATACAGATGTAGCTGTGAGTATACTTTACGCTTTGTTTTATCAGATGAGAACGGTGCTTAATACAGTGCCAAAGTCATAGCGGATGTTCTGAAACGTCACAGAAAGGTATCAATGAGTCTAGTAACTGATTTGTTTAATAATTATCACCTACAGAGACTTGAGAAACTTAAACTACCAACGTGGGCCTTCAGGAGATGTAGGGGAGATATGATAGAACTGTACAAAATTATAAACGAAATATATGATACAGAATGTTGTAATGCAATCACACTTTGGAAAGATGCCGCTGATCGTCACAGTAACAGAGGACATAGCAAAAAAGTATACCCTAAGCGTGCAACCACGATGCTTAGGAAAAACTTTTTTTCAATAAGAACAGTGACAATATGGAACGATCTGCCTGAAAATGTTGTCTCCGCACCAAATGTAAATGTATTTAAAAACAGGCTAGATACCCACTGGAAACATCAAGAACTTTTCTTTAACTACAAATCATTAATCAAACCATAGACATTAACGTGTACCGAATAGAAATATATATATTTATGTATTGTGTAACATAATAGTCTTGTATAGAGGACTTTCACTAGTCCTGAACCGGAAATAAACTTAACTTAACTTAATGTGGAATGAAATAAAGTTTATATTAATCTGAGATCTGCTATGACAACACTCGTACTATTACAATTTCGTTACTTACATTTAAAGTGCTTTTTATTTTAATTTAAAACAAACTTGAAATACATAAATAAAAACAAAATGATAAAAATAAATCAAACACTAAGTGTTCCCAACATTTGGCGAACACTACTGAATCTCAACACCCAACTTAAATAAGTCTTCAAGCGATTTTATAATATTGTTTAACTCCATAACTCTGTATGCTGGTGAGCTTAGTAGGCTTTTATGTACATGCTGTACGCCGACGATAATAACAGATGAATTGGTATTCCAAAGCGGACCTGATTGAAACATTAAGCTTTGAGATGTTTCTTATAGATTATTTCCCGTTTTAGAAATTATATTTTCTAAAACGGGGAACTTTCGCTGATTTGAGACTAATCATGACCTGAGTTATATTAGAAGACATAATATAGGCCAAATTCTCGTGGGAATTACCCAATCACGGATGTTTGTCAAAAATGAACAATGACAGAGAGTTATTTCATGTGCTTTATTTCATTATAGATAGCTGACATCTAATTGCCAAAAACTTCTCACAAATTCTACTGTTTTACCACGTGTAACAAACATATCATCAACAATATCACACCAAAGCAGGACACAGTTTTCTCAAGACGGTTGTTCCGATGAATCACCGATAGGTGTAGCACTTACGTTTGCAACAGTGTTCCCAGTATTCCGTCTTTGCGTATTGCAGAGTTATCTTCTTTTGAGAGCAGGTATTGATTGTTACGTCATTGGTTCATGTGAGAAAATTACGTCGTTTCTCAAAAATTGATGACGTTACTCTCAGAAACAAATGACGTAACAATCAATCCCTGCTCTCAAGAGGAGATAACTCTGCAATACGCAAAGACGGAATACAGGGTATTGCTCACTTTTTACCATATCTAAAAGGATGTTTTCGTGAATGGGGCTTCCTTGTCTTCTTGTGATGTTTCGTTTTTTCATTTTTGTGGTGACCTGGTCCTTTGATCATTTGGAAGAGGTGTATCGAGCCCAGAGGTGCCCAGAGAATCGTTCGTTTATGGCGAAGGCGTTTCTCCTCATCGGAGTCAGACTTGGGTTCCCGTAATATTAGCATAGCATCGGAGGCGTTTCCTGAAGTTTCCAGCTCTGTCGGAGTCGGAGCTGTCAGCTGAACTATCAGTGGGAGGGAATACACTTCAATAGCGGCACTAACAATGAATGCGAAGACAAGCAGGACCATCTGTAAACAAAAGCATACAATTTATCACCTTGGAACGTTTGAAACAGTAGTTAAATTTCCAGAAGATGACAAACTTGGAGGATATGAAACTAATTCCAGTCACAGATGATTATTATCATATTGAAGTCATCAGAAATGCGTTTCGTACTATTTCTGTCAATTGCTCAAACCTAATGCCGAATTATTAATCATCAAAAATGTTTATGGACCAGTTATAACACTGCATATCAGCCGTAGAATACGATAAATGAAAGGTTTATAAAACAATATCATCATATCAAGAAAGACTTGCTTTTGCCATAATAGCTGTCAAAACAATTTCATACAATATTTCAATAGGTGAATTGGATTAAATTTGCAAGCCAACATCCCTACTTGTACCAAAACAAATAAAACCTTTGATATCGCTGGTTTCGTTGCGATAATGTTTTACTTTTTTTTTATACAATTCATGTAAACAGTTGCGAATTTTGTTATATATGTAGACAT